ACAGTGTGAACTTTAGCTAGCTATGCTTGCATTTTGGTAATGATGTTTTCTGTCTGTAGTGTGACCGGAAGACTTGTGCTATGTCTACAAAACTCTGCCATGAAGTACTTACAAATACTTACAAATACTTGAGGTCAGCTAGCAATAAAGCTTTGTGCGAAAAGCCATTAAAAAACCTATTAACCACGGTACCACTATACCGAAGTCAAGCTGTTAAAATACATTCATGTAAACACAGAAAAGATTATACACACACTCTGTAGAGTTCTGTGGCTTGACTCTTGAAATCCAAATAAAAGTTATATTATCCTTAGAGGAAAGTTCTGACACAGAGCAGTCCTTCATAAGGACTTGTTCATCTCAGAGATTGGAATGTCAATAACTCTATTAGGTTGCTCTGTTAGTGTGAAATAAAGCAGGTTGGGGTTGGGAACCGGATGCCGCCTGCCCAGTGGCAGGCACAGGTAGTGCCCTCCCCCACGCCACAAAGAAACAGCTGTGGTTTGCAATAATTACAGCTGTTGCGATTCTCTAATAATACATGCTGTGGGTGGGGGTGGTGACCGGAAAGAGGATGAGGAGGTAATTTTGGACGGTGGATAAACAAAGAGGAGTAGCGGGAATGGGGAACTGGGAGGGATTCGGGCCACGCGGCTGGAGATAGCTTTGCTATCTCTGTGTCCAGGACGTAGACTTTCTACCTGTGCCTCCCCCTTGGCGTGAATTGCTAAGTGTGTGGAAACAAATCAGATATAACTGACAGCACAGAAGGGAGTCAGATGCGTCGGCAGAAAAACTTAACCTCAAAGCCCATGGTAGTCAGTAGCCTCCCCTTGAAGGCGATATTCGGAAACAGTTGTGAGAATATGCCTTTCAGTAAAAGGAGACAAGGAATCTTCACTCTCGGTCTGCATTTGTTTCTTTATTTAAGTTGCATTTAGAGCAACATTGGAAATAACCTGAGGATCATATGTAATAGAATTCCACTGTGTTAGGGATTTATATTATATATTTAGATTTTAGCTGCTTGTGTTGCAAAAATAAATCAGGTTAGCTTGCTTCTTTACAGTTATTGTTCTACTATTCATGGTATATAATAACAAAATATTGGACGTTTCAAGTGTACACAATAGCGTTAATTTAAGAGGAACAGTTGACAGAGCTTATCAAATGAGTGTTTTACCTATGTATAGGTTTTCTTCACAATCACTGCTTATTGTGGTGTGATGATCGTTCTGTGATCATGCCAGGTCAGGGTTTAATGAAAAACAAGATTCAAATAAGTGTTATGTTTCTGCTTTTTGCTATTCTGAAGGCAAGTCTGATCAAACACTTGAGAGGTAATTGAGGAAGGGATCCTAATCTAAATTTAATGATGGGTATATTTGCAATATGTACACTCAGTAAGTTTCCAGCCTGCATAAGGATAAAAGAGTTTGGTTAGTCCAGGTCTCTAACTTGTTGGCAAAATGTGTGTCAGCAGGTAGGATGAGAAGGTACCCATGAGTCCTTGTAAAGCTAATAATAAGCCAGTAGTAGCCATAGGGTCAGGTACATAACAGGTGTTTAGCAAATTTTGTACAAGCAGCTAGCTCCTGAGGAGAAGTATGTTCAACATGGCACCCATGGGTGCAGTAGTGCATTTAATTGCAGACAAAATCTGAAATGGAGCAGTGATGTGCTTGAGATGTATATGCAGATTCATATGTTTATATGGCTGTGATTAAAGAATTGTGACATATATTTCAGTTAGCAAATAGAACACGTTGCATCTACAGATAAGTTTTCAGTAAAATGGCAGTCTAAAATGCAACAAAGTTGTATGGGTAGTAGAAACTCTTGGAGCTCTTTGTCCAGGTGGAATGTTCTATTTCTGTTCATTGAAACTAAAATCAGAGAACACAAAGTAAATGCCACAGTCTCTAATGAATAGAATCAAGTAGGCTTAGTGTGAGTTGGTATTGTTAATTTAGAAGTTGAGTTTTTTTTTTCATTTTATAGACCAGAAAAAAGAAAAACTATATTTCATGGAGCATGGTAATGTATGTTACTTTCTGTATTGTGTTAGCATTTGACATGGCCATGCCTCAGCCAGACAGTCTCCTTCTCTCTATCCTACAAGTTTAGAGCCACTCAAAAGACCTGTAATCATTCACTAAGAAGATGGTGGGAGCTGTTTATATCAGTTTTATTTGTCTAATTTTATTTTTTTATCAGTACAGGGGATCGAACTCACGACTGCCTGCTGCAAGGCAGGTGCTTATGCCGCTGAGCTAAATCCCCAGCCCCTAATTTTGTTTTTTGAAATAAGAAATTTACTTCTGTATCCACGTCTCTATACTAGCAGTGATGTTTTTGCCCATTTCTGGCCTACAAGTTTGAATATTCACAGTATTGAGCAGTTCTCCTCTATTTACTTTTGCATTTGGCCAGAGAAGCTTGGCTCTCTAGCCGAGTTTAACTCCATTATTTATTAGAGGATGTGAAGCATGGTAGAGATTGTTTATATGCTCAGCACTGACTCATTTCTTTAGAAATTCTTTCTCCATGTGACTGAAGGATGCTGTGGAGTGAAGCAGACTTAGTGAGCCTTCTGTAGCACTTTTTAATCATGAATTCATTTATCATTATTTGTGTTTAATGAGCCACCAAGCCAGGGTTTCATGTAAATTGAGAGCGTGAGCAGTTTCAGATAGGCAGGTTTTAGAAACTCCAGGTAACTCCTGAGAAGTTTTAGAAAATAGTTGTTACCGAGCCTGGCTTTATTTATCTGTCCCAGATACTCTTAATAAGGAGAAATGACCTGATTTAGTGATTAGCTTGTTGATGCATTGTCTCCAGAGATTTGTGTATGCAAAGGGCATTAAACATGCACCTTTTAAGCATTTCATTCCCATTCTTTTTCACTGCTCAAAGCTCATCTTTTTTTTTTTTTTTTTTTTTTTGTCTTTTTCGTTTTTATCAGTACCAGGGATCGAACTCACAACTGCCTGCTTGCAAGGCAGGCGCTTATGCCACTGAGCTAAATCCCCAGCCCCCTCAAAGCTCATTTTAACACAAACTGTACTAAGATACTATCTGAAGATTTTATTATGTTCTCTTTTAAGACGTGCAGTGACCACTGTCAGGTCAGTATAATAACCTTTGCGACCTAATGTTGATCAAGCTTAATCTTTTTAGTTATCCTTTTTAAAAGAGCAAAGTATTGTCTTGAACTTGACCGACAGGGATATCTGCACTTAAATTAACCTATATTTGTTTTGTGCTTTTCAGGTACACTACAGTTAGGTGTTAAGCTCACTTTTCTTTATGACAGAATTATTTTCTATTCATTTGAGCTCCATACTCCTTAGCTTACATAATTGAAAAGTTGAGCGTCTGAGTAGGATAAGATGGAGATGCAGGAGATGAATTCTCACGGGTAAAGTTAAACAAGAATAAACAAGGGAGGAATAACCCTGCTCTACATAAACAGTTTTAGGGGAAGAGTTTGGTGAAGATATGCTGGATACCAAGAAGAGTTTTTTTAGGTATTTTTGTGTCAGATAGAAAAAAGGGATCTAAATATTGTACCTGTCCTCTTGTTTGCATAAAAGTCTAGTGACCTTTATTTTTTCCAATTTAAAAAGAGTTGCTAAGATCCCATCATGTTTATACTGATAGTTCATGCAGTACTTCTGTATTTAAACTGATGCATAGTAGGTAGGAATATGAACAGTGTGGTACTGATCTCTCCTGAGGAGGATTTTTTTCTTTTCTGGTGTAATTGTAGATGGTGGATATTGGCTCCTCCAAACATAAGGGCCAGTGGTTTCTTGTAGCTGAGAGAGTCCAGGAGAAAAAATTTTCTCCCCTAAAGATGGTGTGGTGGGCAGGGTCGGCTCTGCCTTGGTTACTCTCCTGTGTGTGTCTCAGGTTCAGCCTAAGCCCGTGTGTATTGTGGGCTTGTGCTATGGTTGAATTTCCTTCCAGGATGTGAAGGCATTGCATAGTCTGGTATCTTCTTCATGGCCCAGGGAATCCAAAGCCTCTCCTCATGTGGGCCCAATGAAGTACAGCAGTGGTGGTGGCCATACCCGCTCCTAGGAGAGTTAAACTCCACTGTGATGAAGGTGAAGCCTTAAAATTTCTTCCTTGATGGTACTCGAGGCAGAGAGCTTTGCTGATACATTTGTGATGACAAAAGTTCACTGAGTTTACTGGCTGGTGCCATTTTGAATTTCTAATCCATGAAATGCGCTGGTGATAAGTAGTATTTGAAGTACGCTATTTAGGTGTGACTGCTGAACTTCCTTTGGAGAAAATGTTTCTTATGACAACTAAAAGTGACCTAGCTCTGGTCACATCCAGAAAGGCTAAGAGTGTAAAGGGACAGAGGCTCTGCTCTCCTTCTTGGTCTTTTCAGTCAACTGTACTCTCAGGACTTCCTGTTCCCAAAGATGGGATGTAGTTGAGTGTCTGTCTCACTCCTGCCCTGGGTGGCTGCGTTCTGAATGGGCTAAGAATAACTCTCCTTCTTCTGCCAATCATAACTTTCTTTTAGACAGATTGCTCAGAATCCTGCAGGGAACTCTTCTCAATGCCTTGTTGGATACCGAATATCAAAGCATCTCCCTTACACATAGAACAGTAATTAATTACCTATTGTAGAGGGTTCGGTGAAATGGTCTTCATTTTTGTTTTTACATTGCTGTCTTTCAAGATTATAATGCGGACGTGATTCCTTGCTTCATGTTAAGATCTTTGTTGTTTTGTGAACCACACTGCAGAGTTTTCCTAACCTGTTTGTACAATCACAAAAGGGACTTGCTCTCCTTGTAGTTAATATGAGGCAACAGATTTTGAAGACAGAACCCATGTGTAGCATGGCCACTTCATGTGGACAGCTCTTGAAGCCTCCTGTGTGTGTATAAATGTGATCAACCTTGCTGTCGATTTCTTCTGTCATTCTCTGCCAAAGCTTTCATTTAAGTGTTGTGAAAACTCTTTGTTTTTTTCAGGTCAAATGAGTGATTTGAGTATAAGTGGTCATCCAATAGATTCAGAGTCTAAAGAAGATGAACCATGTAGTGAAGAGACAGATCCAGTGCAAAATCTGTTTGATGGAATTTATCCCGGGATAATCCAAATAGACATATACAACGGTGAGGAGGATGGAGGGGAAGATGAAGATTGCACAAATGCTACTGATGCGACCACCACACCCTCTGTGCAGTACATAAATGGGAAACAGCTTGTCACCACTGTGCCCAAGGGCCCAGAGACGGAAGAAGCCAGGCGTGGCCAGTATGAAAGTGTACAACCTTCTCAGAATTTCTCAGACAGCTCTGAAAGCGATGCCCATCAGTTTGTTATACCAGAAACAGAATTGTCTACTGCTTTGAAACCTAATGAATCTAAAGAATCTGCTGAATTGCTAGAAATGACATGGAAACCTGAAACTTACCCCAAAATGTCCGAAACGTTTTCCAGTGGTGAACCTGATATTTTCCCTACAGTCCCATTCCAAGGGGGAAAACACCCAGAGGGGGAAGAGTCAACCACAGAGACAGATCCTGGACTTGAAAATGTGGCACCTGGAAGTGCTGAGCCTTTGCCTCTGTTTCCTGAAGAGTCTTCCGGAGAGACTTCCACTGACCAAGTGTCTCAGATCATGGTATTTTCCAGGGCTACAGAAGTAACGCTGGGTGAAGAGGCAGACAGAAGTAGTGCTGTCACGTATACTCCGAGCAGTATGGTTCCAAGCTCTCTGGATCCCATGTCACAGGAAGGCTCAGTTACCCTAACAGGAAATCCACAGCCTGATGAGCCCCTGTCTGCTACAGAAAGTGGGGTTGAAATAACCCCCGGCCAAAGTGTGGAACACTCAGGGAGTTCTTCACTTCTATTTCTGGAGGGCTCTGGGGAAGTAGAAGAATACACAGATAAAATGTTTACCATGGCAGCTGACCTGTCACCGAGAAATACTACAGATGTACTCATTACTTTAGAGACCGGCAAGGTCATAACCACAGAAGGCTTTTCAGATATTGTAGCCACCACCGTTTTTTCCAGTTCTGAGCTTTCTTCTGCAGCAGTGGAGTCTCCCAAATTTGTAAGTGAAGCAGATACCTCCATGCAGGTTTTCAGTACAGCTCTTGAGGGAAAAGGAGAGAAAGAGACAGAGGAGGAGGAAAAGGGAACTACTGGTATGGCTTTTACAACTGAGTCGCTGTCACCAACACAGAGATCAGATCAACTCATTCCATCCCCTGAGTTAGAAAATGCAAATGTAGCTACCTCTAGTGATTCATCCATCCGGCAGGGTTTTATGCCCTTGACAACGCCCACCCAGTCTGAAAATTCGATGCCAAGCTCTCCCCTTTTCTTTACAGAGCCAGAGCTTGTAGTTAACTCGGGGGCACAGCCCTTTGAGCACAATAGTGGCAGCCGAGCTGGAGTCCAGGAAGGGCTGACCACTCTCCCAGGTAGCCTCGTCTCTCTCTTTATGGAGCAGGGCTCTGGGGAGGCTGCTGTGGACCCAGAGACCACCACCCTTTCTTCATTTTCATTAAATTTAGAGCCTGAAACTCGAGCCAAAATGGAAGTGGCCAGCACTTGGTCCCCGCATGTGGAATCCACATCCTCCTCTGAACCAGCGGGCCGAGTTTGGACTGCTGTCACAGACAGTGAAGTCACTGAGCCTATAAACCAAACATCCGAGGGAAAATCGATTTCAGAATCACCAGAAGAACCAAACCATGGGGGAGGAGTAAAGGGCTTTTCTACAGGTTTTCCTTTGGAGGAAGATTCCAGTGGTGAGTTTACAGAGTACTCCACAGTGTCTCAGCCTGTCACAGAGGTGAGTGAAGGCTCTGGAGATGGAGGCTCTACAAATACCCAGATTTTACCCTCTGTAGTGTCCACTGCTGGGCACAGCCATCACAGTTCTGATGCAGGACAGCCCCACAGCACCACATTAAGCACCTCAGCCCTCCTCTGGGAAGAGCTGGAAGCCTTTGCTGAGGGCTCCGGTGGCGAGCAGCTGATCACAGCCAGCAGTTCTTTTGACCCTGTGCTTCCCACTGCAGTGGAAAACTTCTCTGGTACAGATTTCCCATTTATTGACCAAGGATTGGAAGAAGTAAGTGTGATTCATGAAGCCAATCAAAGACCCACCATTTTACCTAGCACAGGGGCAGAGAGTACTGCAGAGTCTGCAGAAAAGAAAGATGTAAAGGTTAACAGCACAGTTTCAGTGGACTTTCTCCAGACAACTGAGCCAGCCAAGTCAGGGACCAGGCAAGAAGGCGATCCCTTGAGACAAGGGGTTGAAGGTGAATCAGCTTCAGAGGAACAGATTCCAGAACATGCATCTCTCAAACCGGAACAAACGACCTTTTATTCACAAATGCTTACTGAAACTGGACTCCAAACAACAGATTATTCCACAAAGAAAATACCTACCACTGATAAGCAAGTGGAGGAGGAAGGTGTTTCCTCAGTTCCCTTCTCTATTCCACGTGCAGATCCAGAGGCCTCGGAACCCTACACTCCTCTCCCCGAGCTTCCTGAAAGGTCAGAGTTTTACTCAGCTTCTGCTGCCGTGACTGTGACTGAATGGACTCCAGCTGAAGTAGTCACAGATCCATCAACTGAGGAAGAAGAAGGCATAAAGCTCTTTCCCCAAGGTGTGAGACCAAGCATTAACAACCCGGGTACTGATCTTTTATTCTCTGGACTGGGATCAGGAGAAGAACTTTTGTCCACACTGCCTCCAATGTCAGTGAATTTTACTGAAATGGAACGAATCATTAGCACATTAGATCCCCAGACTCCTCAAGTGGAAAGTGTAAAAACAAGTGTGTTAGTTGAAAAAGTAGAAGACTATGAGAGAGTGGAGAATGTGGACAATGAAGTGAGATCCTTCATTTTCAAAACAGACAATGCCACCAAATCTGAGGAGGCAGCGCCCAACACAACCTTACTAGAAGTTTTGGGTGGCCCAGGATCAGAAGAACCAACTACCGCACCTGTGTCTTTATCCACAGACACGGAACATCCTCTCCATGAGACCCTCAGGTGGTCAGAAGAAATCCAGACCTGGAGACAAGCTGGACCCGAGCAAGTTTCTCCTGAGAATTCTTCAGCAACACCTTCCACAGTTTTTGTAGCTAGAACTCATGTTCTTGAAATGACCAGAGAGTTTATTACATCAGCACCAAAACCATCGGACTTGCTTTATGAAAATTCTGGAGAGGGATCTGGAGAAGCGGATACTCTTGATTTAGCCCACACTTCTGGAACTACTCAGGCAAGCAGGCCAGAGACCACCACATTTGTTTCCGACAGATTCCTAGAAGACCATCCGGAAGCCCCAAGTGCTGAAGCTGGAACTGCCCACACCCCTCCTCCTGCATCCACGATACTGCCTCTCCACATGGAGCAGAACAGAACCATCCCTGATCCAAGCAGCATCCCAGCACACACACAGTCCCCCCAGAGGCCCACAGAAGATGGGGCAGACAGTTTCCAAGACCATTTTGTGGGATTTACGGATTCTACCTTAAAACCTAACAGAAGAAAAGCCACTGAAAATATTATTATAGATCTGGACAAAGATGATTTCATGTTGACCGGTACAGACAGCCCCATCCTCGATATCCTCGAGCTGCGAGATACCACCACTATCATAGATATTGACCACAGCAGACCTGCAGATGAAGATGCCCTCGGGATGCAGACAGACCTAGATCCGGAGGTGCCAGCAGGAAGTGAAGAAAGTGCCCAGGCCACCCAGGCTCAAGAGCAGCACGAGGCAGCTGGCACCTTGTCTTTCACTGAGAAAGCATTTGAGGGCTCTGGTGAGGATGCCAGCGACACCCAGGCAGCAGATAACCATCCAGTGACTTCTGAGAGTAAAAGCCAGTTAGGTCACACAGGCTTCAACTCTCCCACCAAAATCTCTGTCCCTAGCATGGCAACCGAAGTAGGTATTTTGCTTCCCACAGTCACTTCGCTGCCTACGCCCGGTAAATCTGCCACAGTTCATCCAGAGATCAAAGAACCCAAACCGGAAACGACAGGCCTGGATGACATATTTGAATCAAGCACTTTGTCTGACGGGCAAGCTATTGCAGACCAAAGCGAAGTAGTGTCGACACTGGGCGATTTGGAAAGGACACAGGAAGAGGATGAAGAAAAGAAACATGTAGGTCCTTCTTTCCCACCAGACTTCTCTTCAGGGGATGAGGAGCTGTTGACAGATGTCACTCCCTATGTAAGTATCAATCATGTCCACCTCCTGACTCAGAGCTTAACGGAAGCCCCTGCCGTGCAGGGAGGACCCAGCCCCTCGGTGGCTCTGTCAGCGTTTGAAGAGTTGTCCCATCAGACACCATCCTCTCCATCCTCTATCTTCCCGGGCAGTGGAGCATCAGAGAACACAGAGGTCCCCCAGCCGAGTGTCCTGCCAGGTACAGACGCCATCTCCACTCTGACATCTCCAGAGCATCCTCAGAATGAGGTTCACACAATTTTAGAAGCCACTTTCAAACCATCAGGTGAAGAGCAGGTCCCTGTAACCAAGCCTCCATCCTCCTCTCCTGACACAGAACTTTCAGAAGATGAGAGCAAACCCAGGGTATTTGAAGAAGCGGGAAGTTCTCCCTCAGAACCCATTACCAAGGAGGCAACCAAGGCTCCCCAAGATCCCACACACACAGACAGTGGTCCATTTTCTGGAGAAACAACAGAAGTGCTCCCAAGACTTCCAACCTATGGAGTTGAACCTGTTCCTACAGCTGGCAGGGAGACTGAATCAGAAGGTGCCCCACAGTGGCTGCATTCCACTTCCACTTCTGTGACCTCCAGGGTTGGGGCAGATGTGGTGCCTCAGCCCAGCCCGCAGACTTCTGCGAGCCCCACTGTCCCTTTTTCTTGGGAAACAAACCCGGAAACACATGCAGCAGCTTTTGTCCGAGGGGAGCACTCCACTATAGCAGCACCAGAAAAGGAAATGCCAGCCGGTTTCCTTGATTCTAACAGTCAGGTGACAGTCAGCACTGTGGGATTAAACCCTGAGCTCATCACATCATCATTTTCCCTTCCGGAAACTTCTAATGAAACTCATTTCCTGATTGGCATTCATGAAGAGGCCATGGAGGGCACAGCCGTCTATTTCGCAGGTAAGATCGCAACCTTGGTACATCCGTTTCCACACCCGGAAATGGTCCCTTGATGCTAATGTACAAATTGTTATGGTGATGATGAGTCCATGGAGATTTTTATGTTGTTCATGTAAGGACAGGTCAGGTCACAGTACCGAGCTTACTATGAGGTGTGGTGAAAGTAAGTACCGAGTTTTTCTGAGATTTACAGATCTAATTTTGTAAGTTTTCTGTGTTCCAGAAACAACATACAGTTGAAAAATGGATAGAGTGAAATGATCCTAAAATTTCAGTGTGTTTATGCTCACAACTAAAGTATTGCTGGGTCGTAGGTCCTATGCTTACACATCTTAGTTTTAAAATTTAAAGTCCTTATTTTTTAAAACCCTCCCATGATGGATGTTATTATGGCAATCATCAAAATTTGCCATGTCTTTAGCATTTGAAAGGAGTAATTGGTTTTAATAAATGCTTCCCAGCTTGGGAAATAGCAGTTATCAGTGTATACTCTGAGGTAATTTCTTTGTTGAGAAAGTCTGTCCTTTATTTTTAAGCCTGGCCATAGTGGGTATTTATTTAGTTTGCCTGCTCATTCTGCCTGTTGGAAGATTTCTCTGTTTCCTGAGTATACTGAAGGAGTGAATCGAATTCTGCTTTGCATAGAGCATTTCATCCTGTCTTCACAAAAGGCCACAAAGCAGTTATTAGCTCCATGTCAAGGTATAGGGTGTGGCGATTCCGAGAGGGTCAGTCACGTGACACACTTGGTGAAAGTGGAATTGGAACCCAGTCCCACCCCACTCTGAGGTTACAGTCTTTTTACTGCTTTTTCCTGCTTTCCATTACTTTATAGAAATGAGCAACTCACATTGAATGATATATAAACAGAAGCCTTGAAATACAAGCTTAGTAATCACTTTATTTTTAAGCCCGTGGATATGAAAAGTCAGCTTTTATAGAATTTGTCTGGAATGTTCTTGTTGGGAATGACTTGGCCAGTAGACCCTATGAACAACCATCACCACTTACCTGCTACCTAGAAAAAGAAAATCAGTACTTTAAAGGTTGTGTTGATGAAAATAAACCTTGGATTTTAATAAATATATTTTATGTCTCAGCTGTTGTTAGAATTCTTATTGTGGTTATATTGATTTTATTTTTTGTGAGACTGAAACTTTATCTTGTGCTTCAAAAACATTAAAATGGAAACTTTTTATACACAGATTGAAGTATTTTGTGAATAAAATTTATCAAAGGTGGTTTACACTGGATTCTTTTTTGCTATCATTCTGTAACCAATAACCTGGTGACCTGTTCAATATATACTGTTTTGTAATTAAGTTGAAATGTACTTCACATTGTTAAAAATATGATACAGAAACAACTGGTCCTAATGAGAGAGAGAGAGAGAAAGAGAGAGAGAGAGAGTTAAATTAGTTAACCGAGTGAGCCAATTAGTTGTCTGCTCCACTGTGTTTACCAGGAAGTAGATTCTGCGTCTTCACTGCAAAACAAATTGGCACTTTAGCTCACATGGGAATCTCTAGTTTATCTTGCAGATTCGACTTTAAGAGACTAATACAAACTATTTAGGGAAAAATAAAATTCCTACGTGCAAATTTTTCTCCTAATGAGAGCTCTTCAGGTCCTCAGGGAGCCCCATGGCCCATCCAGCCTTGTTCATGGCCTCAGCGTGGGGCCCCACGTGTGCGGAGGGGGGGGTCAGGAGGAGAGCTTCATGTTGCGTGGCATCTCCCAAAGCACTGTTACAGGAGTGTCACTTGATTCCACACAGATGGAGCTGTGTCCATGATTGTGACCTTGTCCGCAGGCTACTATGCTTTCACACAGCGAGAGCTGACATTTTGAGGGAGTTTTAATTATTTTTTGATCCCTAGGAGAAAATGCCTTAGAAAATTTGGGTTAATTTTTGGGAACATTTGATGTATGCATGCAGATTTACCTAACTTTGATGTGAACCCGAAAAGCAAATGTGCCACCAAATGTGTCTTCTTAGGTTGTCTGGAGTTTTATTCAGCACTAGGAAAGTTTGGATTTGACTTTAGTTAGACATTTGCTTTTCGTGTTTCATTATCTCCAGATTTCAAGACTTACGAATCTTGAAAATATGGTTGCAAACCGTATATAACCCACCTAATTTCAACTGTTGTGTAAAACTTTTTATTGTCAACTGTATTCTTGAGCACTTTGAGAATTAAGCAGTTTTGAAAAATATTCAAAGAATAAATGCAAGTTGAAAGAAAGTAAAATGCACACTTCACATGGTATAAAATATTTGCATGTGGGATATATGTTTTAAATTATTTGTCTTCATAGATTACAGTGATATTTAAGAAGGGCTCATTCTATTTATGTTTTAAGAAGAGTGTAACAAAAATTGGGGTTTTGTTAGAGGTGAGGTTTTTGTATTTGGGTTTGTTTGTATGCAGTAGAGTTTAATCGATGTGTTGCTTTTCTTCAAGTATAGTTTAAAGGAGTACATTTGGAACGTGTTTTTGGAAAAAGCATATTAATGTAGCAGAAGAGACTTCAGTGCACACTTTCGAAGAAAAACAGTTTCTGACCATTAAGTGGTAAAAGGCAATAATAATTCAAATGCTGGTAACAAGCCAACTTGCTAAAAAGAATGCATGTTCTGTGTATCCAGCCATGTCACATGAACTAACCCGTTTAAAAGAATACATTTTCCATTCACTGTGCACATACGTGTAATCATGTTTGACTAAAATCAATCGTCATTATCATGCCAACTAAATCTGCCATAGAATATGTTAGTTGCCAGATACAGTATGAAAATATTGTTTAGACGTAATGATTGAAAGCCTAGAAGTGAATAGATGCAATCTGTAACCATTAGTTATGATGCCAAGAAACACTCCAGAGTAAAGTTAATGTTAATTTCTATATGTAGCATTTCTAAATTGCTATGGGAAGCTTATATTGTGGTAGCAGTCAGTGGTTGCATTTTATGCTAAAGTATATTGAAACGTTAGTGATCTTAGAGATGAGCTTAATTGTATTTTTGTTGTTCTGTTCCTTTCTTGAACGTGACAGGACCTGATCGATGTAAAACCAACCCTTGCTTGAATGGAGGCACTTGCTACCCTACGGAGACGGCCTACGTATGCACCTGTGTGCCGGGCTTCAGTGGAGATCAGTGTGAACTCGGTGAGATGTTGTGGACTGACAGAGCTGGTCCTTTCCAGAAGCTGGACTCAGTGGGGGACCCCATACTGTACAGCCAGTCTCAGAGGTCTCCGTGTGTACGCGGGCTGTGTGCTAAACTAAGTTAAAGCCCGAGTGTCATTGTGTACGGCTGGGGAAGGGGCCAGGAGTTCCCTGATGTCTTTTAATATAAGCAATACTAGATGAGGCTCCTGCGGCCTTTGGTGCCTCTTCGTGGTTTTCTTTTTTCCAGTACCGGGGATCGAACTCACGACCGCATGCTTGCAAGGCAGGTGCTTATGCCACTGAGCTAAATCCCCAGCCCCTCCTCTTTGTAGTTTTAAAAGGCAAACTTTGCAGAGAGAGAGAGAGAGAGAGAGAGAGAGAGAGAGAGAGAGAAAGAGAGAGACGTATTAATTAAAACTCTTCATCCATCCTTCACTTCCGCATATCCATACATAATCAACTGAAATGGATACAGTTTTTCTTCTTAGAAAACTGTTTAAATAGGCAAAAATAAAATGAGGAACTCTAGTTCTTATGTTTTGGATGACTTGAGTCTCAGGTGTGTGGTGGGACAGATGTCCTGCTTCTCTGCTCCTCTGGTCTAAACCTGTCTCTGCCTCAAGGAGTTGTACCATGTGTTTCATGTCCTCTCCTTCAGTTTGCAAAGAATAAAACTCTTCTTTTTATTAGACCAGTTCATTTTACTCATACATGCACAAACTTCCATATATATAATTTTTTTTCTTTTGTCAGGGTTTCACTGTATATTCAGGCTTGTCTTGAACTCACTTTGTAGCCCAGGCTGGCATTGAATTCTTGTGGCAATCCATCTGTTTCAACTTCCCAAGTACTGGGTACATTTCTTTATATTTTTTTCCCTTAAAATTTGTTTCTTAGTTTTGATTTAGCTAAATACAGCCTCACTTTCCGTGGATTCTAGTTGCCCAGGGCAGTGGTTCTCACAGTGTGGTCCCCAGATCAGAAACTTCAGCATCACTGCGAACATTAGAGATGCACCCTCCCTTTTCCTCTGAAGCAGGTGCTCTGCACAGGGCCCACGGTTCGTACCCCACCCTGCCCTCTGGTGACCCTTGCCAGGGATGCTGATCCCTGCTGAGGTCTCCACATCGCTGGACTGGAGTGCAAAGTGTAACTAGTCAGTGCTTTGCTGAGAATGAGTGAACAGTGGTAGAAAGAGTTAGAACAGGCTGATGGAATGTGTTGTCTGAGTGCCCCTTTCTAAAGCTATATGACTTAGTCCCACCAGTAAACCTTGAATGACACAGGAACACTGTGAAATTCCAGGCTTCATACTTAAAGAAGTACTTGTCCCAACAAAAGCCACATAGCACAGGCTGCATTTTGCGCTAACTGGTGCGAGTGTAGGAGAAACAGCAATGGATGATGTTTAAGAGAGAATTGTGCCTTCAAGAGTGTCTGAGTTACTTTTCTCATCTTGCTGAGACAAAATACCCAATGCTCCAAGTGAAGGGAAGAAAGGTTTATTTGGCTCACAGTGTGTGGAGTTTCCAGTCCGTGATCAGCTGCCCCCGTGGCAGGGTGGTGTGGAGAAGGCAGCAGTTCATGGTGGCGGAACCGACTCTGACAGCGTTTTTCTGCCCCCTTTTATACTCTATCCAGGCTGCTGGGATTAGGGTGCTGCCAAACCTGTGAGTGAGCTGATCTCACTCCCTTAACTCCAGCACAACACACCCTAGATCCAACCACTCTGAAAAAGCCCCAGGGCTGCATGAGGGGCTGGGGGCACATCTAGACACAAACCATAACGCAGATCAAATTTACAGATATAGCAGTATGCATCTGGCCCTCATTCTGTGTTCCATTAAACTTGATTAAAATACTTCAGTTGCATTAATGTCTGTGATGCTTTTAGTACTGACTGGCACTGGACATGAATAGGAAAGTGCTTCCTGCCATCACTGCATTATCCTGTGACCACCAAGGCCAACTCTTTAGCTATGAACCTATGGTACAGTTCTTGGATATTTAACTTGCTTTACAGATTTATTTTCAAAAATACTCATTAGAATTAAATTCTCTGTGTAATAGCCAAATACCATGGGACTATAGTCATTGATTTCACTTAAGGGGCCCATGGAGAACTGGATAGAAATATCTTCTTTGAAAATTGACCGTAGGCCAGGGCAGGTTGGGTAAATGGTTGAGGGAGATAAGGACACAATATAGGAAAGCCATGAAGTTGCAGACTCTATTAAGGGGTTGCAAGTTTGTATAGAGGCCTCAGAGCGACCCAGGGGGAGAGGTCATAGCCACAGAGATTAGCAGGCAGGTTGGAGCTAGAAAATGTTGATCTGGGAAGATCCTGAATCCAATGTGCTCAATAGTTTCACTTATATTCTACTCATTTGGTTCTGACATATCTGTGAGGTGTGATCAATAAATATACATGAATGCTTGAATTACAGAAAAACATGGTAGTAAAAGATGTGTTGCTGATGAGCTCCCCTCAGAATGCCTCCCCTTGCTTTGAGCACACTCATCCATCATTCTTGACACTTTCTTCTGTGTGTGTGTGTGTGTGTGTGTGTGTGTGTGTGTGTGTAGTGCGAGGGCTCAAACCCAGGGCCTTGTGCATGCAAGACAATAGTTGTACCCCTGAGCCACATCCCCAACCCCTCTGAAGCAGTTCTAAAAGTCCGCTTTCCTGAGTGTCTTCGCTTGTGTTATCGTGGCTGCCTTTATGTCCTGCATGAATTTCTGCCGCTGACCGTCCATGGGTAGTTTGACATGGGAAAAGAGCCAGAAGCCACACCGTGCTAGCACTGGTAGCTGCAGGAGATGACTGTGGTGTTTTGATGAACCTGCCTTTCTGTTGGACGGCGCTCAGCAGGAGCAGCATTTGCCTTATTTTGAATCACACTTCATAAAGACACTCATGAAAGTGAACTTCCAGAATTGTTCCAGGGACAGGCAAGAAGGGTGGGATAAGTATGGTGGAGGTGAGGGAGGGAATTTTGAGGGCATCCCTGTCCTGCATCTGTTACTGCAATACTTTTTAAAAATTTAAACCTTTGCCACATATTTGATCACATCTTGTACCTGCATTAGGATGACTGGAGGGTTGGATGGGTCACTCTTTCTGTCCTGGGGTGCTGATTTCGTGGGTCTGAGGTGGGGTGGGGGTGGAGTGTTTCTAGTGTTCTCCGTGATGCCAGTGCTGATGGTCCACATCAAGGCCCACTGCCCCAGGTAATTGGCTTCCGTGGAAAGTTGAGAAGCAGAAGAATGCAATGATCAGACAGAAAAGATGCCTATCAGCAGGAGAGAGTCCCAGGGGTTGTAAGGCCAGGTGGGTGTGTTGAGTCTTTCACATGTGTGGGAGTCAGAACACGGGGAATCGCAAGCAGAAAGCCATAGAAATTCTTTCTCTATTTCAGGGCCCATTTCAGGGATAGAGATAGGGACCCTATTCTGATTATATTTAGAATTTTCTTAAGGTAGCCAGATTCAGCAAATAAAAATATAGTTGGCCAATTAAATTTGAATCTCAGTTTAAAAAGGACCTTGTCACAGATAAAAAAAAATATATTAAAAAATGCTGAAGAGGAAGATTAACGCAGACACTGCAGATGCAGTCAAATTTTTCTGGCCATCCATTCTTACCTGTCAGCCTTACACAAAGAAGGATTATTCCATCCTTTATGAAAGTGTATTTGGGGGCTTTTAGCTGTTTCTGTTATCTATTCCAGACTTTGATGAGTGTCACTCTAACCCGTGTCGGAACGGGGCGACCTGTGTGGACGGCTTTAACACGTTCCGGTGTCTCTGCCTTCCCAGCTACATTGGCGCACTTTGTGAGCAAGGTAACAGCTCCTGGGAAGTTTCGGGGATGCACACTGTTGGTTGATGTTTCCCCTAATGTTGGCCTTGCTGTGTTGTCTTCTGTGTGGAGGAGATGCCTGTTTTCCCTGTATGTCACATGCACCTGGGCCACGGTGGTGCTTTACCTTCGTTTCACTGGTAACTGGAATGGAAGTCTCACAGCACTGAATTGGAGGACATGTACTCAATGGAAGGAATATTGTTATGTGGATTCTTTCTGGGGACAAAGGAGGCATTGACTTCATGTGGCCTGAGTACCAGAGAGTATTAGATTCTGTGTTAGTTGCCTATATTTTCTTTCCCTAAGGCCTTGAGACTTAGACTGATTTCCCATGGTCAATCGTAGCTGCAGGATGAGTCAATACGGCTGTTAAAATGTGTTACCCTTGGTGTGGCACATACTACCATGAGTCTGCTCGCTAGAAAATTTTCCTACTAATGAAGCATCCACTATTTTTTTTTTTCTGAATTAAAGAAAGGCCCAGACTCTCATGATCCCTGTACTTTGCATTTTATGGCCAACCGAGGAGTATGTTTTGGGTGGTTAATGGTAACAGTTCTCAGTCCATCAATCAGAAACAGATTGCATGCTCAGCATACTCGGTTTGAGAATGTCGATTTCCCCTGCTGAAAGTTATCCAGTGGTTTGGCTTTGAGAAAAGTGCTTAGTGCCAGACTTCCATCCTCCCAGACAGAATGAAAATGTGTTAGACACCCAGACACATCGGGCCGGCCCCACATTTGGCTTTGCGGTGCTAATCCAGACGTCACTACCATTGAAGCAAAGCTAAAAGCAGCATGTACTGAATTACCGTCACAAAGCCATGGGCGACAGCGCTGTTTTGGGGTTTCTCTTTTTTTAGGGGGTAGGGTGGGTCTTTTTGTTTTAGAAATTTAAATATAAAAACAGACCGAGCACAATTCTCTTTTTAAACTGAAAAGTAAGAAAGCTACCATTTCCTGAAAAAGACGAAGGGATCACACACTTGAACATCCAAACATGTTCAAATGATTCTGGCTTCCCCTTCGAGTACAAGGAGGAATCCGGAATTCATTTGTTCTACAAGTCTGTATGAACACCCACTACTTTCCAGAGGCTGTGCTGCGTACCAGAGTTTGATCCCTGAATAAGACCATTGCTGATCTCAGTCCCTTAGTGTAATTCGTGGTGGAGAATGAAAAGGAGCCTGTTTGTTTGCTGGTTTGTAGTTTATCAAATGCTCCCTGGTGTGGTGCTTCATTTGGTTGATGTGAAGTTTCTTTGCCTTCAGTGTTAGGAGTGGAGACTCAGAGAAGAAAAGTGCTCAGGAGTGCACAGCTAGTGAATGAGAAAAGAGAACCTAAAATGAATTAACTCCTGCGCCTGAGTTTTCCCCAGTGTCTTCACACTTTTAAAGTACTTCTTAAAGATGAAGCACTTCTTGAGTGTGTCTAATGGATTGCTTGTGGCAGATTCTTGGAAGGGACTTTAAGGCCAGTTAATTCCTCCCTCTCTTTTAAAAAGACTGTTTGAACAGAAACAACTTTAAATTGCTTCTTCCTTTTCTGCCGCACCTCAATTACAGGTCCATTCTATTCTCTCCGCAAGCCCGTTTGGCTTTCCTGTACTTTATTTGCTGAGCAACTGCTATCCCCGTGTGTGTTTATCTCACACAGCTGTGATCCTGTGCTTTATTGCCAGGATACTGAAACATTTCTTTTTTCTCTTCTTTTCAGGTTGCCTAAGAACAAATGTTTTCTTTATTAGCAGCAGCATTGTTGTCTAAACAGTTTTCTGTCCAATATTCTGTGGTGACCATGTCAGTATTTCTCCAGCTGACCTTGACTCTCTGCACTAGGAACTTTTTAAGCTGCAGTAACTTGGAAATAGGAGGACGTATTCTGGCAGAAAGTAACAGATATAAAAGCTCGAAGGTGCCCTTGGACTGGTACAGGAATATCTGAGCACACACGGACAGCTGTCCAGGTTGGACAGTAATGCTTATCAGGGTGGAGGTGTGAAGTGTGGACAGTTTCCTAAGGCTGGACAGCTGTGTATCAGAGGTGTTGAGAAAAATCACCTGAAGGCGTAAAAAGATAGATTTCAGTGTAGCTGTCACAGTGATATTTTTGGCTTCTGTGGTCATGCCTATGAGCTCAAAGACTCTAAATCTGAGTCTTTGTAATGGCAGCAACATTGTTACCAGTGACACACATCTGCATTTTATGAATTCTTTTGGTAAAAGACAAAAAAATACTTCACGATAATCTGAGTTTTAATGACAAAACCTAAAAAGAAAACCAAACAGAAGTCATTCAGGCAGACAGCAATCAGAGTGCATAGAAGACTTCTTTTCTTATATTTGAAACTAAAGCTCTGCTAGATTCTGTTTCTTTTGTGTGCTGGATCAAGCCCAGGATCTTCAACATGCTAGGCAAGCACTCCGACACCGAGCTACAACCCCAGCACTAGAATTTTAAACTGTGCATCTTAAAATACACAATAATTTCCAGGGTTAAGGAAAACTATGGTACTACAATACCACAGTATTGACTTTGGCAGTGAAAATGTTCTAAAATTTATTTCCAACTCTTGTTCTTTTTAAAGTAAGCTCCTCAGATAGGGAGATCTGTTTTCTGCTCCCTTCCCATCCCAGTTTTGAATTCTTCTAAATGAACTTCCCGCAAAGAAAATTACTGTCCATCGGACCAAAACATGCTTCACTATGGAAACCAAGTGCTGATTCTGTACCAATCATCTGGCCGCATCCTGCTGCTGTCCTGTGAGGTTGGGTGATCTCTAAACAGCACTTTAATAAAGCCCAAAATTTCCAGTGCGCATTATTCAAAACAATTAGTCAACAGGCTGTAACTAAACAACGGGCCTAATAGACTAAACTGCAGTGGGGATGGCTCAGAGATAAGCGGCATCTGTTCTGAGGGGTAAGAATGCACGGCTCTCTCCGGATGCATATGCTCTTACAACTAAGGAAATAAAAAAGAGCAAATACTGCAGCTGGAGAGTGACAGAGCACAAAGCAGGAGGCTGCTTGTGTTTTAATTTGGCTACCAAAACTAACCTCTGAAACCTTAAATGGAATCGGTTGGTTTTCATTACAATTAGTAAACTCAGAGAAGATAGCATGCTCGTTACATCAGCTGAAAGGTCTCCGTGGGGTCTAAACCCCTACAGACCAGGCAGTTTTGCTAGTTTTTGTAAGTAACTATTTCATTATATTTGTGAGCTGTAGTTGGTGAAAGTCCAAGTCATTGCCACTGATCATTATTTAATAATCTACCTGTGAGTAAGTAAATTTGAGGGAAAACTGCCAATAAGAATACACTACTATGAGGAAAGCTATTTTCTTGAGACTAGCCCAAGAAAAAGTACAGCTAAAGATTACGGCAAACACAAAATTTAAAAATATTTGAAAATATTTTCGTCTCATTGGGATACCAGTTTTGGGATGCTTATTTCAAATGAGAAAAACAGACACACATACAAAGTAGGATCTGCTCAAATTTTTAAATTCAAAAATTTAAATTTTTAAATTCAAAAATTCTTAATAGAATTAAGAATTGATGCAATTGGACACATTGCCATTAATCTCTCTCCTTCTTGCTACTTTCTGCAGCAGCTCTGGAGTCCTCTTTCCTGAGTGTCTTCAATTATGCTGCCCTGGCTGGCTTGATTCCAAAATTAATTCAGAACACCTTCCTCTCTTGATCATTTGATTTGACTCTGAAGAAGAGCCGGAAGTCGCTGGGTGCCTGATCCAGTGAATAAGGTGGATGAGGCCACAGCGTCATGTTTTTACAAACCTGCCTTTCCGTGGATGGCAAACAACGGTGGCATTCACTGTATTTTTGTTCACATGTTGTAAAGATACTCCCATAAGAGGACTTGCGCATCTACTTCAGAAAATAGCTGAAACAGTATGCTAAGCATTTTGGTAGCATGGGGAACATTCTAGGGGGATTAGTGGCAATGTGTCTCCAACTGTAATCAGCTTTTAAAATGTAAACATCCACCATATATTTTGATCACACCTTGTGTGTGAATAATTTGGTGAAAGGGGGCGTGGTGATTTGCAGAATCTAGGCTGTTCCATTTTTAATAAAAGCCTATGCATTTGCCCTGGGGATATGCTGTTTATAATCTGTTTATGAGAAGCAAGAGAGCACACATTTTAGCTATTTCCCCAGAGCTGCCTACTCTGAGTTTTTCCCTCTGTGTAAATCCCACATGACAAGAGTCTGTGGTCTGCCAGCTGTCCCTCTGGTTGGTGGCAAAGGACTACTTCCAGAGCCTTTGAAGTCATTATGCAAATAGAGTGCTCCTGATCCAGTTAGTGGAATTCTTATCTTATCACTCCCCGTTCTCTTAGATAAGTTGTGCAGGTCAGGAATTCACTCCAACTGCTCTCCAGGTTTTTATGCAGACAGTACAGCCTGGGGGGTTCCGCCCGACTGGCTTGCATCAAGAACACAGCAGTTAGATGTTGTCCTTCTGTGACACTCCAGCCTCCCACTCCAGCGGAATCCCCAGGGCTCACTGTATGATGACCTGTTTATCATTGGACCTCTTTCACGAATCAGGGCTTCAGGAATTGGTGTGGATGTTGGCGTGGCTGTCCTGTCTACCCTTGCGTTGGGGAGCCATGTGTGAATGGTGTAGGTGAGTGTTATATGCTCGCACCTGTCTCTTCCCAGATACTGAGACCTGTGACTATGGCTGGCACAAATTCCAAGGGCAGTGCTACAAATACTTCGCCCACCGACGCACATGGGACGCAGCTGAGAGGGAATGTCGTCTGCAGGGAGCCCACCTCACCAGCATCCTGTCGCACGAAGAGCAGATGTTCGTGAATCGTATGTACCAGACAGACTTGAGTTTCGTCATTCATTCTCACCATGTTTTTAGTTTTCTCTGAACCAGGAAAAGAGCAGTGGCTTTCTCAGTCATGATGCAGTTGACTAAACCCGTCCTCTGTGAACTAGTTAAAGCCAGTGTGATTTACCTAGTTCTCCACTGTGGGAAACACTGCTCTGACACATGCAGGGATTGTGTAGTCTGGCAACTGTAATGGACGAAATGGTTGGCAGTGAGTTGAATCATAAGGAATTGCTCTTTTTTTTTTTTTTTTAACTTAGAAAAATGGCCATTTCTGACAGCATGGTAAAATTCCATGGTTACCTTCCTGGTCTTTGTTTTGAATCTTTGCATGTGTTGGCTAGAATTGAAAATGAAATGAAAGAGGAAGTTACTTTTTGTCCAGCTGATTAAAATCGAAGTGTGAATAGCATCCTAATCTTATCTTCTGGTTCTCCTCCAGGTTTCTATTTTAGACCAAAGAAAGTGAGCTACATGTTAGGAACAGGAATAGATGGAGATAAAAAAAGCTAGTGAAACCAAGGGGCAGGATTGTTTAATAACTTCTTATACTTTAGTTAAGAGGGCTGCTATTTTGGTTTTTCTTTGTACTGGAAGTTGAACTCAAGACTTTGTACGTGCCAGGCAGATACTGTGCTGCTGAGCTGCATTCCCAGCCCCAGGGCTGCTGGTTTTTACAAAGAAATTTGTAGAACACTTTCACCTACGAGCCCCTGTGCAACTCTGAGAAACATGTTCCTGTGGTGTTGCCTGCCTTTCTGAAGTTTACTAATTACAAAGTTAATGCTTTCATATTTTGGCCATTGTCTTATCACATGGTAGAAAGATATTTTTGAGGATAGTGTTTCAAAATTTTCTGGCATAGGTGTTTGATGTTTAAAAAACTTAGGTTTCCAAAGTGAGGGAAGAATGGGTCGGTCCCAATGTCTGGGAAATTTTAGTGAGTCGTTGGATTTTTGCCAATGGCATGGATTAACATGAACAGAGTAAGTTAAATGAAAAAATGCACTTATGAGTGAATATGGGAAATATTCAATTATAGTAAAAGGCTAGGGAAATTATTGTGTACGACTAATAGTTTGAGGTTGCTAAGAGTTTAAAAATTGTCTTTATAGTTCAGAGTACACTCGCAGAACAACAGAGGCTAGGAGAAATTTTTTTGTTAACAAGCAACTAAATAAAATTCCAGTTAAAAAATAAGATGCGCCATCACTCTTAAAATACTTTAGTATATTCATCGGTATGTGGGAAAGGTAGGAAGCATACTGATATAGGGAAATGAAATTCCCAACCTACCAGGTCCTCCAGTATGAGTTCCTGTTCTCTAAAATCAAATAATGAGTTTTAAGAACAGTAGAGGTTAAGATCAGAATATATTTATTGAGAGACAAAAGCTTCTAAGAGAGTGAGATAGATGGGGTCTTGAGTGGGTTGCCAAAGCCCACCTATTTAGGGACTTTTATAGAGCAAATCCATGAGGCGAAGCAGGTCTAAGCTGGGGAAAGGTATGGGAACTTACAAGGTGGATGTAAGGTGGAACGGAACTATGGTTAACCAGTAAGATTAATTGCTCAGGTAAAATTGATTAAATTGGGGACAAATGAGGAATCGAGTCGTATAGCAGGTGGGCATGCTTGTAGAGAGCAGTGAGTCTTCCCTAGAGGGTTGGGATAGTGACTTCTGGCTTTCTCAGGGTAACAGAGACCCATTTAGAAAATCAGCCCTTAGGATGTGGGTGCATTTGTTGGGTCTTTTGTCTTGAGATCTGGCCTCCAGTGAGAGGTATCTGTCTCCCCCACAGTGGCAAGGTATCTGGGCTTCAGCACTGGCTGCTCTGAGGACCCAGCCCTGTCTGACTGTCTATAATATTTCTGTCTAGCTCAGTTGCCTATAACAATGTCTGCATTTTTCCTCATCTTTTAGGTGTGGGCCATGATTATCAGTGGATCGGACTCAATGACAAGATGTTCGAGCATGACTTCCGCTGGACTGACGGCAGCACGCTGGTAAGATGCTGACTGAAAGATGCAGTTCTGGGGTCTCAGGGCTGCTGCGAGCCCTTTGCGTTTGACAGAGGGTGTGCTGGCAGGGAAACAGCTTCAAAGACTGGCTGAAGTTCTCTCGCTGAAATAGAGCAAGGATACAGAAATATTCCAAAGGAGCTGATTGAATCACTGATGTTTTCTCCCGTAGCTGCTGATCCCTTCAAAAGAAGGGTAGCAAATTTCTATTGAAGTGGAAAACTAGACAATGAGAACGGTCTTGTGTCTGTCTTTCAAGCAGTTATCTTCTGCTTTTTAGAGCTTTGAAGCTAAGAGGACGAGGATAGATGTAGAGAAAGGCCTTGAAAAATACCTTCGAGTCACCTGCAGGGGGATCTTGGAGTTGTAGTGAAGCTGCTTTGAATTGCTTTTAGTAAACACAAATGGTCTAAAGCTTTGGAGATAGTCTGGGTATGACCAGCTAGGCTGGTGGTATGTAGTGCTGACGTCCACTGGGATGACCAGCGAGACTAATTCAAAATGGTTCTCACACTTGTTATGGCAAAACTTCCAGCAGCTGAATTTCCTGAATGTCCCCAGTTAATTCTTACATGCAAGCAATACTAGGATCCACAATGCTGGTTAAGATGACAGGTGTAAAGTGAATCCTAAATTGGATGGACACATGGAGATCAAATGTAAGTTTTAGGTCCTTTGCTGTGTGTGTGAATTACTTAGGTCCCTTCACTGACCATCTCCCACTGGTCAGGATTTAATGACTTTGGCAAAACATAGGGTTCATCCTGGAACAGAAGCCAAAGTAATCTTTGCCTTTGGAAGTTGTCCTCCACTTAGGGAGGCTTCCCTGGGGTCCTAGGGATACATTCCTCAGTTCGTCTGTGTCCAGGCATCTACTGAATTCATCTACATCACCTGCTTTAAGGTAAAGGAGGGGAAGGTCAGTTAGGTTGAGCTCTTTGTCCAGGGTCACAAAGCTGCTAACTGGAGAAGCCAGCCTTGAATTCACCGAAGCTGTCTCTCCTTGTCTTTAAGGAGACAAGGTGTCTCCTTTTCTTTAAATACAATATCACGTACTCTTCTTTTGATTTGAGTAACTGAAGATCTGTTACTAGATTTCACCCATCGCTGCTGGTTTGTTTTCTTTGTGATTCCTCTCTGTGTTTGTTCAGCATTCTTTGTCATTCAGATTTTGTAAGGTCTTTGAAAGATGGAGAAAAAGTAGGAAGAGTATATTGTCTATAAAGTATATTTCCAGTAAGATACAGGAACCACAGCCTCCGCATTGGCGACCCATTTCCTCTAGTTGTCCCAGCTAGATGTTGATGTGTCAGCAATTCTCACACCTGTACACCTTCATTTTGCTTTACTGGGGGCTCCTGTCTATGACAGAAGCTAGAATGCCCAATGCTCAAGGCACCATTGCTGCTTGGTCTCCCAGGTCTGGGCCACTACTTATCTCCCAGTGTACCTATTGGCTAGATTTCAGTATGTTCCAGCCCAAGCTCAGTATGTCTGCATCTGACCAGTTGGAGTGCATGCAGAGGCTGTGATGTCACCACACACTGACCAGACTAAACCAAATTTCAGCCCCTTTCTCATCTGTTCTTAGTTATCCAGAACTGATTTGGATGTTTGCATTCTTAGCGCATGTGTGTTACTAGATGTTTATTCTGATCTCTGTGTTAGCAGATCACCTCTTCAGAGAGGGCTCCTTCCCCTGACTTATTTCTCACACTGCCTAGGACAGTGCCTTGTCCCTTAGCCTGAGAGCTTGGCTAAGGAGACTGAACATTGGCTTCTGCTGGTATTTAGTAGGGCATCTGTTCAATATCTCCAGGAGGTTGTCTCCTGCACCAGACTCATACAACAGTTGTCATTTCTCCTTGTAAGAGGAAGGCAGGTCAACTGTCTTTGATCTATGTCCATCAATTTTTAATGGAGACACAAAAATCTTGCGAAAGAAATAATTTAATCACTATTTCCTGGAGTCTGGACTATGCCTCAGTTTGGTAGGTGAGCAAGCATGAGCTTTGCACTGTCTGAAAGGAAATCCTGGTCTGCCTGTGAAGGTGAAGCAGGAGGTAAGATCCTGGGATACAGACAGCTGTGCCCCTAACTAGGGCCGCTTCTGATGGAAGCCTAAGGACCAGGCCTGTGCCCAGTCGGAGAGAACTTTAGGGTGGAGAAGGCAGGAATCAGGTCTGTAAACATGCAAACTGTATCCTGGGAAGGAACAAGGGCATCCAAAGAAACTCGGCCAGCCCCTGGCTTCTCCTTCCTTCGCTCTTTGTACAGAGTCAGCGTGCTAAGGAGTATCCCCGAACTCTGACCATTTGGGAATAGTAGTGACCATCTGCCTTGCAGCCGGTCTCCCTCCCATCTGACTGATCTCTGGCCCACTTTCCTGCCTTTGAATCCACCCTTTCCTCTGTCCTTGCCTTTTGGAGATGGCCTAGGTGTCTCTGAAACTCGTTTGTAGTTTTGTTCTATGGTCACCGTCCCTTAACAGGTTCCATATGTGCGCCAGCCTTGGAATAAAATAGTCTCCTTTGTCTTGCCATTTACTGAGTTTCTTATTTTTGGGAATATTCCCAATAGTTGCTCAAGTCTTCATTGTGGTGTTTATGCTTGAAAATGGTGTGAATTTGACTAAATGCAATTTTAATGATTTCATTTACACTTTAGAGTGATTTCTCCTCCATACCCTTTCCTCCTCCTTCTCCTCCTCCTCCTCCTCCTCCTCCTCCTCCTCCTCCTCCTCCTCCTCCTCCTCCTCCTCCTCCTCTTTTGTATGACAGCCTTATTTAAGCTTGTGCATGTTGGGAGTTAGAGCAGTATTAAAACAAAAAGAACTTTTAAAATTTACCTTATATTTTTGTGTGATATTCAGTCTTACCATTCAGGCAAAACCAAAAGTTAATGTTAGGTCTGTTTCTTTTACTGAAATAATTAAACATTGGTTCCAATAAACTTGCAAAATAATTACGTCATATTTAACATGATTATGCTCTATATCTGGATTAATTCCATGCATCAGTTTATACTAAATTAATAATGTTGTTTGGCTCAGTCATCTAAATGGCCTTATTCTTTAGATTGTTTCTGATTCATTCCACATTATTGGCCTCTACAATTGGATGTTGATATAATTGATAAAATGCCAAATTCCTTTTTCTGTTATATTTTGAAAATCTCTTTCATTGTTTACTTGGGGCATTTGCCCAATTGATTTTACAAAAGTGTACTCCTGGATAAAATCGTGTTGAGCCTTACCCTTGTGATTTATGTTTAGGTTGGTTTCTCCAACCTAACACATTGCAGTTTTCACTTAGTCCCCAGTTTTCTTCCAATCAGTTATTCTTTAACTCAACTATTGATTGATAAGTAACCGCAAAATACACCTAGAGATTTATGAGTGATGCACACTTCACTTGAGATTACGTCTCTTGTCACCAAGTTATGTCTTCAAAGAGATTAAGTTAAACCATTCAAGTGAAACACATTAAAGCTGTAGAACTCAAACAAACTTTCTTATCTGGTGTCTGTCCTGTTAGCTGACTTTTAAGCTGCCCCTTTGCCCAGCTGCTAAATGAGTGGCTTGTCCAGAGTGTTTTCCCTCAACTCTATTCCCAGGGTCAGGGACTTCACCTCCCTGGGCTGTGAACTCTTGTTGCCCAATGTTTTCCTGCTGCTCTTGGTATAAAATCCCAGCTATCAGCCTGAGGACAAAGCCCATCGGCTCCTCGGACTTCCTGAGCCAGTGCATCTCGAAGAGCGTTTCTAGAGTGAGTGTGACCTCTCGCTCTTGTGGAGCTTCGAATATCTCGCCTCAGTGCTGAGCATGTTCTCGCCTCTTGCTCTGATTTCTTTTGAGGACATTCAGATACCCTGCATGGCCAAGAGCCCTCTCCCTCCAGGAAGTCTCCTCACAGTCCCGTCTTCCGTGTTCTCTTTGTCCTCTTCCCATCCAAGCATCCAGTCCTGTGGAGCTGACGTCCAGAAACTTCTAAGGCAGGACTTACCTTCCATCTCTGTATTTCACCACCCAGTAGGGCAGTTGTTGTAAAACAGATACCTACTCAATAGTTTTGCAAGAACCAGTGATAATCCTTATACCTTCACAGCTCACTTACCTTTTGGATCCATTATGACCACACGAAGTCTTTGGGCGCCACCTCTTTGTGACACTTCTTGTTAATCCAAGTTGAACACTCTGTTTACATTTGTGCCAATGTGAGAACATGGAAGCAAAGGGAAATATTTTCCTCAGGATGAAAGATACATAGCTGAGCATGCAAGAGGCAGTGTCCAGAGGAAGGCTACTGGAAGTGCTCACACCGTGTCCACGGTTGTCTTGGGAACCCTCTTGTAACCAGTTTTTGGAAGTTAAAAATGGATAGCACGCTCTCCTCCTCTGCCACCCAGGCTTGTCCAAGCAACTTCAGGAAAACAACAATTTGGGGACTATTTTTTTCTTCTCAAATAAGCACTTGTTTAGCCACTGTATTTCCTGTGGAAAAATTACCTTGAACAATATTATTATTTATATCTAAAATCTGGTTAAACAAGTAGGAAGGAATAGTCACCTTTGGATGCTATCAACTAATTTTATATTTAAGAATGCGTGGCACAGAATCCTCCACCTGCTTCAAGTTGGACAGAGACTCACCTATTGATCCCTTGTGCAAGATTAACCACTTCAGTACAAAGGAAACCAAGCATCAGGAGATATGTAGGAATTTCTCTATCACTACACATCCTGTTAAAAATCATTTCCGGTGTTGCGTTGTGTTTTATTTTGTTTTGACTAAAGACCTTGAGATGGCCATGGGACAGCACAATGAAAGACACAGCAGAATCTCTTAGGTGCCCAAATCATGCTGCTTTGTGTAACACAGCTCTCTGTGAGTGATGTGAAATCAAACTCTGGACCTCGGAGATTGAAAACTGTTGTCATCTCGCTCCCCACTCTTGGACCCCCGGGGATAAAATTCTCAAGGGGA